CTTTCGCAAAACGTACAGCAAGGCCGCTGCCACTGCCACACCGCCGCCGGCCACCGCCTGGACCGCGCGCGGCTTGAGGGGGGAGGGCACGGTGAAGGGAGGCAGGGGATGCTGGAGGATCCTGAGAGCAGACGTGTCCATGAATGCAGCATCCCGAAAAATTAAAGCCGAAAGCCAGGACCCCATGTCTGCGGCACTTTTTCGAGCCAGATCGAGATGCTATGGCCTGGAGGCCCGAAAGCATGCGAAGTCGCCCAGATACCAGGGGATCCAGGCCCCCCACGTCATGATTTCTTCACAACGTAGACCCCCAAAGGTCTGCACCCTGCACCCCTTCCCCGGAACCGGTTTCAAACCTTGAGTTGTTTTCTGACAGTCCCGACGCCGGGCAAAAGCCCCCGGAGGCCGAAGATAAAAACAAAAACTCCCGCTGTGATTTTTGTCACCACGCGAGGGGGTCGGGGGAGGAGGAGGAGGAGGAGGAGGAGGAGGACGACGACGACCAAGACGACGGCATCGACGACGCCGACGATGACGACCAGGGATTGGGATGTTTTTGCTTTTGTTTGGGCCCTCGGAAGGGGCTCTTCGTTACCACCGTTCAGCGTTCGCCTCGCGAGATTCCTCGACAGAGCCATTTTCCAGGAGAGATCCAGGGAACGACTTTGTCGGGGGGAGGAGAATAACGAGGATAATGCTAACGGGCGGAGGCATTCGCATTTTGTTTGGTCTTCGAAAGTTCTGGAGGTGTTCTGAAGCGTTTCTGGAGGGGATGGGGATCACGTAGGGGGCGAGACAGGGAGGAGGCAATGAAAGAGGAAAAATGGCACGGAGGGGGAGAAAGTCATGAGGTGTTGACAAACTATGAAGGTCAGATCGGGCAAACTGGGCATAGAGTGCGATGGACTCGGGGAGGATTTGCTTAAGTATTGATGTCAGCATGCTCTCAAATTGAAACAGCCCGGGGGCTCGGGAAGAGCCGAACCAGGGGAGATCTGCTCGTCTCTTCATCACGATTCCTCATCCAGGTCCTCGATGCTCTTCCCCTTCTCCTCCTTGTCATCGCTTCTCTGTGCCTCTCCCTGCGAACGTTTCCAAGGTGCCCTCTGGAACTGATGCGGAACACGAGTATGCGCCCTGCTGACGCGGTCAGAAGGAAAGAGCACGGACGACCCTGATTCGTTTCGAACCCGCCGACGTTGCAATTGGGGACTGGGGGGACGAGGAGGGAAAAGGGGAAGGGAACCTTCAAACTGGGCGGGTGGATGGAGGGAGGAAGGGAGGACAAAAAAAAGGAGGAAGGATGACCACAACGAGGGCGCGGACAAGTTAGAGCGCGCAAGACCCACGCCACCCCAAACAACACCAAACAGGAGGGGGTCTTAACCCAACCTCCGTGCTGCCCCGCTGCTGCGTTGGCACCGTGGCGATACGTACCACAAAAAATGGGCTCATGCCCAGGCTTATAAAAAATGGCACTGGGACACACACGCATAAACATATTCAGACCCCAGACCCCAAATAGGTTCGAATAGGTTCTGGGTGTTTGCCGTCCCCCTTTACTACTTCCCAATTTTCGAATATTTTCCTGGGGGCCGACACTTAATTACATTTGCGTCTGGTTTGGACTAGGGCGAGCTTTTGGGAGTCAACTAACTCAATCGGTTTTCCATGGCTTGCGATAGCATCATCACCCTCACCACCATTAGCATCACCACCATCGTCATCGTCAGCACCGCCATCATCACATTGTCGTCTTTTCAATCATCATCGCCATCGTCATCTCATCGTCATCGTCATCGCCGCCACGATCATCATCATCATCATCATCATCAGCATCATCATCATCATCGTCATCATCATCATCATCATCCTCGTCGCCGTCGTCATGCAGGGTCAAATGATTTGACAAGCAAAAGGGTCCAGGGCCTACTCGGCCTGGACAGAAGCAGGGGTGGCACGCTGCCCCGCGCGGTCAGCGCGCGACACTTCGGAAAGCAAGTCCGTCAGGTCAGGGAGCGCCGCGGGGACCTCGGCCGATTGCTGGGCCACGGCACAGTTCACGACGCGGAAGAACTCCGCAGGGCCAAGCGCGGAGACGATCTCGCGCGCCCTGACCTCCCGAATCACGTCGGAACGAATCGCGGCGGCGATCTGCAGCCGCAGGTCGTCGGCGTCGTCGGTCTTCGCCGTTGCAACAGATCCGTCGAAAGTGCGCTGGCGGTCCTCGCGGCGGAGCGCGCTGTGGTTCACGGCGGACAGGTTCCCCGCGTAGAAGGGCCCAAGCTCTTGGAGGAGGGCGATTTGTTCATGGCCTCCCGCCTTCGCTTCCACGGAGCTCGCGCCGAAAAGCGTCGCGGCCGCAGGCAGCAAGGAGCAGCCGCCGCCCGCGCGCCAACCGTCGCCCCGCGCGCCTGGCCCCGCGAGCTGGATCGACGCGCGCGCGATCGCGTTGTCTGCGAAGTCCTCTTCCAGGATGGGCTTCCCGTTCGCCTTATAGGCATGTTAAGGCACAGTGTCGGAGCGGACCGCCTCGCGCATGTAGCCGCCCAGCCGTTGCGGCCCGTGGCGCCACTCAGCCCGCAGCGCTCGCACGAAAGCGGCGAAGCGCTCTGGCGGGGTCAGCTGCAAGCTCGCGCGCCTGTTCAGGGCGCGGCACGCGGGGGGGCCCTCCTCGTCGACGATGCCCGCGACCTCTGTTTGCGACTCAGTGCCGCCTCCTTCCCCCGAGCGCAGCGGGAACGGGTTGATCCCGTCTCCAGGCGGCCCTTGGTCGCGATGTTCCAGCTGGGGCATGTCTCATGCAGATCCACGTGGGGGTGGCGTCGACGGGGGGGGCGAAAGTTGAGCGCGCCGTCCGGCGCGAGATGATCTTTATCTTCCTCGGAGGGTGCCCATTGCGCGCGAGTTTTTCACCGTCGCGGTGCCCGTGTTGCAGTTTGGTGATTGGGCGGGCTTCGTGACGGCCGGCTTCGTGCTCGGGCGAAGCGGACAGGTTTGGGGCGCGCGCGCATTAGCGTTCAGGAGCGGTCGTCTGGCATGGCCCTTGTCCTCGCGCGAAGTGATGCGCCATTAAGGTCGCGCTCTCGAATGATCCTTAGAATTGGCAGTGGATTGCATGGCTCATTTCCGAGGAGTCGCGCAGCGCGCCTAAATCTTGAAGGGTGCCACCTTCTTCAGCCACTACTGGAGGGCGCGGGGCCGCGTCGCGCCGGGGCCGCGGATTTCTTGATCCCAGGTCAAGGCCCATCGTTCTCTAGACGACGCGTTCTCTGAGCAAGGCCGCGTCTGAATCCTCGTAGCTAGAATGGCACACGATGTAATGAGACAACATCGCGGGGGCGCATGGTTTGACCCTGCTGCTCGTTTAGACACCGCCCCCGCTATCTTCATGTTTCTGGTGTTCGCGACTGGTGCGGGACGGGTGCATGCTAGCGGGCCCTTTCATCAGAGTACTTTGGCCCCCTGTCCGAGGCCCCTCGCGCGCCCCTCCCCGCCCCGCTGCCCCCCCCAGGCCCCTGCCTGGGCAGGCCAGGGTCATCGCTGCACCTCGCGTTCAAAGCGCATCGCCTCTCACTGCTGTCGTCGCTGCCCAGGGGGCGGGGGGGGGGCAGGAGGAGTGGAGGAGGGGGGAGGAGGGGGGCGGGGGGGAGGAGGGATGGGGGAGGAAGGATGGGGGGCGAGGAGGAAGGAGTGGACAGCGGAGGAGGGGAGAGGAGGGGGGAATAGAAGCGAGGCTGGCGTCTGGGTGCCACTGCGCGGCCGCGGCCCCGTGAGGATCTCCGATGCGGTTTGCCATCGAACACGCTCAGCTGCCTTCTCCAAGTCAGGCAACGCGGTCTCAATTGTCCTGAACCAGACGGCACTAGTTGTCTCAATTTGTCTCAAAGTTTCTCACCAAGCGAACCTTTCTGTCTCAATTTCTCTCAATTTGGGTCGCCCCCGGGATATTATATCTCAATTTCTCTCAACTTCTCTCAATTCCTCTCAAAATCTCTCCAATATTCCCAATTCCTCTCAATATAGCTTACCATGAGAAAGCGCTACTACACAACAGCATCTTGATGGGCCGTTGCTCTCTCAGAAGACCTTTTCGCGACGTCCCTGGGGATGCCCTCGGCTCCCCGACCCGCTTCCTTGCCTCTCGAGGTAATCGAGGATAGGGTCCCCGTCCACCCTCTCCCTCCCTGCCTTGACTCCATCCTCTCCCTCCCTGCCTTGACTCTCCATCCCTCCCTACATCACTCCCCCCTTCCCTCCCCTTCCCTTCCTGCCTCCCCCCTTCCCTCCCTCCGTCCCTCTCCTCCCCCCTCCCCCTCGTCGTCGTCGTCGTCGCGGCGGCGGTTGGCCGGCGCCCGCTCCTCTTGCCCCCTGGGCCCGCTGCTCGGGGGAGGGCGGGCTCCCCGAAGCGCCGGTGGGAAGCCCTTCGGCGTGGCCCCGTCGGAGGCCTCCAGCGCTCCTCCTAGGGCCGTCCCTGGAGTCCTTGGCAGTCATGCGAGGTCTTCGGCGTATGTCCGAAGCCTCTGCAGGTTGTCGGCCGCCCCTGGAGGCTCTCGGAAGCCCCGAGCCTTTCCAGGGTCCTCGGGACCCTTGGAAGCCGCCAGGGCTCGCGGTCCTGGTGATCGTCTTGGGGGCCGGTGGGTTTCGGGGGGCTTCGGCTGCCTCTGGCGGCTTTCGGTGGTCTCCGGGAATCCCCCTTGCGATCCTCGGAGGTCCATGGCAGCCCTCGGAGACCCTTTGTGGTCCCTGGTGTCTGCTTGGGCTCTTCGGGGGTCGTCGGGGATGTCTGGAAGCCTTTGGATGCCTCGGGGGGCTCGTCCTCCGGGGGGCTTGCAAAGTGCAAACGCACAAACATATGCACATGTGCATGTGCAAATACAGATGCACATGCCGAAATAATGATGATCCGGATTTGTGGTACGTTGTGCGTTGCAGGAACGATGCGTTGCTGTCGTCATTTTGCAACTGGTTTATGCTTGCAGGCGCAGTGGACTTGGGGATACCGCCAAGGGGTCCGATCAGGCTTCTGGCGGCGGTCCGCTTGTGTAATTGTACGA